ATTAAATATAGATATTTTTATTTATTTTTAACACTATGTAGATATACTTAAATTTATCTTGAAATAATTGAGTAGATTTGATCTAATAAGAAGTAGAAATGAATTATTGAGCTTGGACCAAATGACATGATTGACCAAATTATTGAGCTTAGACTAAGTGACATGATTGATCAAATTATTTAGTTGGATTAAGTCACATGATTGAGCAAATTATTGAGCATAGACCAAGTAATAAAGTTTGATCAAAAGATGAGGTTGAAAATGGATAAAGCTTTGATTTTGGAGGCTTTTACATTGGATCGATATTTTGATGATTTTTTATTGAACTAAACTACTAGTGGCTTTTTTTGAACTGTTCTTTGGCCATGAGTTAGGATAAAAAATTACAAATGAAGAATAGCGAGGCATTTAAATGTTGATTGTGGATTTTAGAGTTATTAGGATTTTAATAGTATTAAGTTTCCATGTATAAGTGAATAAATATATTTAAAAATATTATTTGTAATATTTTTTTTCAATGCCATAAAAAAAATAGATCTTGACTTTCGATTTTAATCTATTGTATTTAATTGGATTTGTTTTTTGAAATGAGCTTTAAAACATTCAATTATGATAAATTAAAAATATATAGATATATGTATATATATATATATATATATAATATTTTCAAGCTAGAAGCTTATTCCATCAAAGACCTATGAAGAATTAAAATGAAGGGGTCCAACAAAGCTAGAAATCAAGAGTAGAAAGTTTGAAGGTACGCAACTCCATAGATAGTTAAAGGTTTTATGTGAAATTTCATATGTATGTAGTCTAATTAGTCTACCATGTATTTTCAAAGTTTTATGATAAAAAAAATAGTTTAAAAGATATGGATAAATGAATGATAGAGGTTTGGCTGTGAGGTAGGTAGTAATAAATTAAAAGTTTAATTTGTTATTGTTGGTTTTAGCCTTCTAAATCTCATATAAATAAACATAAAATAGTTAACTAATTGTGTGAGTAAATGCAAGTGTCTTCATATTAATATATTGAATATATAAAGAATTATATGAAAATAATTTGAGAAGATTATTTAATATTATTTTGCGTTTAGATTAATGTTTTGGAGAAGAAGTCTTGAATTCATAAACCTACTACAATAATAAGCCCCATGCTTATGAACAATAATATAAATCATGATATATTATTAATAGAATTGATGCAAAAAATGTATAGTGATAGAGGATGTGAGATGTATCATACACTTAGATTTCTTCTTAAAAATCCTTTTATAATTAAACTTATACATATAGATAAGATTCATTTTTAAAATTATTTAATAGTAAATTTTGAAGTTATATTCATGAAAGAAGTTAAGAATTCAGAGGTACTAGTAATGTTTTGAATTGTGAATTATGAACAAGAGAGAGACATTATTATTTGTATTTTTTATTTGAACTATTGTGGAAAAATATAGAATAGATTAAATATAAGCTAGTATTAAAAAATTAGTATTATAGAGAAGAAGAAAGATACAACAAGTGGAATGAAAGGACTACTTTTTGTAATAGATGTGAAGTAAATAATGCGATTGTTTGAAGCTTTCAATTTGTATATGGGATAACGACAAGAAATGCAATAAAGAGAAGCATTAGCAACTATAGCTCTATACTCTGTAGTAAAGGAGGACCAATTTAATAATCAAGATGTCACTCCATATTTGCACATTTATGTAAGGAAAATGGAATTGAATAAGATTATAGAAAGAGAGATGATCGAGAGTTTTGAGTTTGCTATAATACCAAAGATACATGGAAGAGTAAGAGTGTTGAAAGAGAATGATGGAGAGTCTTAATTAGCATTTATACAAGCATTGAAGAAAATATTCTTCATAGAAGATTTAGAGAGAATTATAAAAAGAAATTTTTGGAGTAGATTGTACAACCAAATAACATTTTTAATATATACTTTAAATATGATTGGCTTTTTATTATCCAGCTCAATTTTTGCAAATCATCTGACATCATTATTGCAAAATAATTGCTCATCATACAATAAATGAATTATAATTTTTATTCTTACAAAAATAGATTCGTATTAGAGGTGAACACATCTTTTATATTAAGAATATACATGTACTATCAAGACCAGCAAGCTACATTGATGTTCACATTATGGTCAAGGCAAGCATAATATAGCTACTTTGAAGTAGAGAAATAGTGTCACAAAGAGGATGGAGTAGAAGGTTAAAAAATGCACATCAAAATTTCTCTTTATGGCATGGTTGTTTTAATAGAAGTTAGCATAACTTTGTGACAATTAAGGATGATCAAAATTTATCCAAATCTTAGAATCAAAGGAATAGATGCACTAGTTGGTGTTGAATTTTCTTGCTTATCACTCTCATGAGAAATACCAAGCCACATAATATATAAGCCACTTACATGGACTTGATAGAAATCAAACCTGGACTAATTGTGTAAATTATTGCAATCTCCAACCAACTGGATGGCTTGGTGATTGAATTTCACGACATGCAGGTATTTCTACTTACTTATTTTGTTGCTATTTCATTTTTATCTTCTGAATTTTTTGATATCCTTCTTTAAAAATAAATAAATAGTATTTTAATTTTTTAGCTTGGATTAGAATAAAAATTTGAGTTATAATCAGAATGGATAAAAATTAAAAGTTCATTAATTAGAAAATAAAGAGATGATGGTGATTCAAAGATGGGCCAATAAAATTCAAGCATCCAACATAGATAAATAAATTGGCCTTATTTTTTACCATTTGATAAAAAAAATAGAGGTAGGAGATCAAAGAAGTCGTTTTAAGTTCTTTTTTCCTACTTTGAGGTTTGGTTTAAAAGATAGGATGGTACATTTAAGCACCCCAAGTAGTATTTGAATGGACTTAGTGAAATTTTTCATATTTTGTATAACATTTTTGCATTTAATGCAAGATGGATGTGATTAGTTATATGTATATATATATATATATATATATATAATCACATATATACATATAAATATATACATATAAATATATATATATATATATATATATATATCAGGATGTATGTGAAGTGATTTAAGCAATTCATGGCCCAAATTGATAATTCCAAGGATGATATGCACAAGTAACAGATTTAAATCTAAGAGGGTATTATTTTTTATGTTTTATTAATTTTAAGTATTTTAAGTAAAATTTTAGGATAAATCAAGTTATATGGGAGTTAGTTAGTATATGGATGTTTTGTTTAAGCTAAATAAAATATTCTAGAGCTTAATTTAATTAATTTCAGGATTTAATTAATAAAAATAATTCATTCATGTCTAGAAGAATTTTTTTGGAGTATTTTGAATGTTTTTGAGTGAAATTAAAGTTAATTTAAGTAAAAAAGTGTATAATGATAAGTAAAAGAAAGTATATAAGCTAAATTAGATATGTTAGGATCTAATTTAATTAAATTCAGGATTAAATAGGAGAAAGTAATGGTTTAGGATCTATTAGAGGAAATTAGAGGTTTTTGAGGGGATTTAGTAATGAAATTTAGTGATAATCAATAGAATTGTAATTATAAATATTAGATTTTTAGTAAGAGAGTATTTAAGGATAAAATTAGATGGTCTAAGAACTAAATTTAGAAATTTAATATATAACTAAGATTTTAGAGAAGGAATAGATATTTTAAGATCTAATTTAAAAGAGATGCATATTACTTTTAATTAATTTAGACACATTAGAATCTAAGTTGATTAATTTAAGCTTTTTTATTGCTAATATCATGATTTGACATTTAATTAAGTATTAATGGAATTTAAAGACATTATTAAGTGAATTAAAGCATGGCTTTTGAGAATTAAAGGAGATTAAAGCATGATTTGATAACTTCTACTCCTTTCAACTCATTGTAGCCAAGAATCTAGTGTTTCTAAAGCAACTCTTCCTTTATAATAGCTCTAGGTAGGAACAACATTAAACAAGCTAGAATTAGCTGAAAAGGAACTTATGAAGAGTTTAAAAGCTTGAGAGAGGCATATCTTCCTAAATACTAATTCAAATGGGTTGTTTGAGGAGTCTATTGGCATTTTGACAAAGACTAAATAATAATAATGTGGTTGTTCAATAGATTTAAAACTTGGAAGAGGAGGAAGTTATGGAGCTTTAAAAGTTTGGAGGAAGTCTCAAAGGCTACCATGGACTAAATTCCTTTGGAGGAAAATGGTGGTCTTTCAAAAACTTAGTAAATATGGAATTGGACATCAACCTAAGGCCAGTCAAATTCTACAAAACATATTATGAGAGGGGGTTGGTTTCCTTCTTCACTTTGAAGGATTCTAAAGTGATTAGTAGAAAGTCTTAGTGGATTGGAACTGGTATTGGGGCCTCACATGAGGGACTCATGGACTATGGTAAGCTAATGAGGTGGCCGAGCTTACAAAAGAAATTAAAGTATTCTACTGTGAGTCAAAAAAGACCGGAATGAGAGATGGTATCCCTAAGACGATAGAAGGTGGTGGCCAAAAGACATAACTAAGTACTTGGTCCGATTTTCACCATGGAAGTGAATTTATATTTATATATATATATATACACACACATGTATTAATGGAGAATCATGGCCAATTAATGATAAGACAAGCAAACAGGAATAATTCCATGCCATTGCCGGCACAGCGATGAAGACCCACCACCGAGATGCTTTCATTCCATCGAGATGTGCTGCATCCCACTCTGTGACTTCCGCTTTGTCCACTTTCCACATGAACTCCGCTTTTGGCCTCGACACGTGGTATGAATTATGGGGCCGAGGGTGCAGTAAGCGCTCAAGGCAAGTGGCAAGGAAGCCCGCCAGGAAATGCAGTCTCTCTCTCACCTCACCTGACATGCTTCCCACGTACTGATTATTGGGCGAGGATTCCCCACACCTTATTAGTATTTGCTATCTTGGTTGTCAGTCCAATCGATAATCTGGAGGACACACGAGATTGGCATTATCGTTCGCTGTAAGAATTGTCATTTTGTATTCGAATAGTGTTTCAATACGTTTTCCTTGTCTTGAACGAATTTTCTGCAGGATTGAGCTTAAGATGTCCATCCTTGCTTGGCATGTTTTTAACTGCTTGTCATGATTATTCGCAACTCTCCATCTCGACAGAACTCTCTTAACAATTGATTCATGGAGACTTACTGATGAGCATTCTTGAACGCCCTTGATCGGGTTGCAGAACCCTAGAGATTTGACAATATCAGAAACTGAGATCACTACGAATTGCACGATAGATTGAATCTAATGGGAGATGAATTCGCAGGAAAAGGATGGGGCAATGGGGGGGAATACTGGGCCTAGAGACTGGAATTGTGCAAGCACCCATGGGACCTGATATCTCCGGCCCGGAGCTTGTGGCCGCCGTTGCCAATGCAGGAGGTCTCGGCATTCTCCGCGCTCCATCTCAGGTCTCATGCTTCCGTCTCATACTGGGTGTGTAAGTACCAATAGTTTATGTGCATTTTGTATTTAGTTCCATGTGTGTAGATATTTTGCCTGATTGTTTTCGATTCTGGTGGCTCAAGTTTCGATTATCGTTGGAAATGAAGGATTGATAATTCTCGGTTGCTTGCAGGACTATCCAGGAGTGCTGAAGGAGATGGTGGCCCGCACGCGACAGCTGACCAGCAAGCCTTTTGGAGTCGGTGTCATTCTGTGAGTATGGCACCTTACTTGCATCCTAAATTGCCGTCGTCGCCTTTATTAGGTGTGGGAATAGCTGGCTATATGGACAAGCTCACGGGTGGGATCGTGTGTATTAACAGAGCATTCCCACATGAGAAGACCCTAAAGGATATATATGCGGAGAGAGTCCAGTTCTTGCAAGTGTATTGGGGCGACTTTCCGAGAGAGCGGGTTGAAGAAGCTCACAAAGCAGGAGTGAAGGTGTTGCACCAGGTGGGGTCCGTTGAAGAAGCTCGCAAGGCCGCCGAAGCAGGGGTGGATGCCATCATTGCCCAGGGCACTGAAGCTGGTGGCCATGTCATTGGCCAGGCAAGCCTATATCCATTCTGCCTTCAATAGCACACCACAATTCTTCAGTTACTGTTTTTTTTTCCTTACACGGCAATAATGATCTGATGATTCAGAAGTCTACGTACAGGTTGGTTTACTGACTCTAATTCCAAGTGTAGTGGATGCACTCAAGAGCTACAACATACCTGTCATAGCAGCAGGAGGTATTGTGGATGGCCGTGGCTATGTTGCTGCACTTGCTCTTGGAGCCCAAGGCGTTTGCATGGGGACCAGGTTACTAATACCACTCTCTTTCCCATTTGCTTGATTGCACTTGAGAGTATATTTTCCTTTGTATCCTTAAGTGGTACCTCTCTGGTCTGAAGGTTTCTGGCCACACCTGAATCCTACGCGCATCCTCTTTACAAGCAAAAAATTGTTGAAGCTGGATATGACAGCACAGAGTACACTCATATGTATGGGAGAGGCCGCTGGCCAGGTGCTGCACACCGTGTCCTGAAATCTCCCTTCTTTGAGAATTGGAAGAACAAAATTGCACCAGATGAAACTGAAATTGGTCAACCCATCATTGGGAGCACCACTACATTTCACAATGTAAGTCATTCCACCACCCTCATCAGCTTCCGCATCTTAATTATAGCTGTCTATACCCTTGGGTTCATTCATAATTTTGCTTTATATCCACTGAATGTGTGCAACAGAAGGAGGAGGTGCCAAGATTTTCTGGAAAAGTTCCCAACATTACAACACAGGGTGATGTGGATAGTATGGTCATGTATGCTGGGATGGGTTCAGCTCACATCAAGGAAGTCCTCCCAGCAGCAACTGTGGTCAGGAGTTTACTTGAGGAGGCTCAAGTCATTATTGAGCAGAGGCTTCATGGACTTCTTGAAACCCAACTTAAACACCCTGCAAGCACAATGTTGTAAACTTTCAAAGATTGTAGACCCTTATATACTTCAGTGTTTGGTAAAATGTGTGCACAATAAAGTTCATCATGGTCCTCCCTGAGCCCAAATTTCAATGGCGGACGGTTCTGTGCGGCTTGTGACACTGCCACTTCGACAGGCCTAGTTCTTCATGCAGAAGTGATTCCTATGTTTAATTTCTCCATTTACTAACGCACAAAGCATTCCTTATTTCCAAGACTTGACTACAATCAGAAAACCAGCATATCAGGCATACATGGAGCAACAGATAGAATCATACAAGCAGCTGACTATCCTCGCCCCTTATACTTGAAATGCTTGCAGGTTATTTGGTGCATCTATACAGTATTAATAGAAAGTCTGAAAGTTGTGTCTGCCTACAGAGCTTATTATTGAGTTCTGAACACAAACAATAGAATTGACATTGTGTAGTACAAAGTTGTTTTGTTTCAAATGAGGCCTACAAACGGGCTCAAACAATTTTAGTATCAAAATTTTTTTTAAAAAAATTGGGATTTATTCCTACCAAAATTCTTAAGAATTAAGCATTTCATGATTTTTTTCATGATGATGAAGTATAGGCTTTCATTGTAGGAAGTTGTAAGTATTTCTAGGACTTCATGCCAAGAGGCCTGAGATTTTAGCCTAAGACTAAGCTTAAGATTTTAAAAAATATCTATCTTATACGTAATTTGTCATTAAGTAATATGCAAAAGATTTCCTATATTTAATCTTTGATATACTAAATTTGGTGTAATCTATAGAATATGTCAAATTTTATTATCCAATACATTGATGGAAAATAAAATAAAAATAAAAATAAAAACACATGAAAATAAAAAGATTACATTATTGTGCAAATAATTTATTTTATTTCTATCATAAAAGTAGCAAAAATTGTTCTTGTATCATGTGATATGGAGGTACTATACTGGATATAAAAGAAAAAATGCCAAGTTTTTTTGATATGGATAAGGGTGAGTAAGGTGAAGTAGCAATAATTAAGTAATGTATAGTGAGACAATTGTTAAAGGAAAACAAGATGTCAAGAACACAACTTAGAACCTCAATCACAAAGAAATGGTAATGTTCAAAGAAGACTAAAAGGTATAGATAAGAAAATATATTAGACTAGAATATATTAACAAAATGGTTATTTCCTAGAAATATAAAGGTTTAGAAGCCACAAGAAGAACTAATTTAAAAAATAAATTGACAAGAGTAAAGATGATGTCAATATTATTTCTATTCATATTAGCTTTTTATATGGTGGCTCCTTAAAGAATACATGGTTGGTGGGACAACAAATCAACTTGCTTAGACATGTATTCAATTACGAGGCCTTATTGTGCTTGTAGGTCCAAACTACGTCTATAAAACATTTAAGATGTTTTATAAAGAAAATAATATCAAACCAATATATTCTACTTATTTCTACCTACTTCTGTATACTTAAGTAATTTAGACATTTGTTATATTATTTCTTTTAGAAAAGAGTTCACAAAGAGTACTCAAGCTATTTCATAAATTAATGAAGTCTAAGATCCATTAAATCATATTAGTAATAAAGTGGAATTTATATTCTTTATAAAGAATGTAGTGTTGAAGATTGATGATGTAGAGTCTTTGCTCAAGAACAAGTGTTGTAAGATTAAACAAATGTTTTGAAAGTTTTCGTATTTAAGACTACCAAAAAAAAATTTAAATAAATTTTACAATATTTTTATTTCTAAAATATCATGTTACAAAAAAATCATGTTTTCCTTTAACAATTGTATTTGAAGTGCACACAATTTTATTTAAATTTTTGGAACATTTAAATATCTTGAATGAAAATAAATAAAAATAAAATAAAAATAAAAATAAAAACTTGCTTTTAAATTTAAATTTTCTAGAATAATTAAGAATGTTAAGTCTAATGTCAAAAATAAGATGTTTTATTAATCTAATTCAAAAAACTTCATTAAAAAAGCTAGAACCAATTTATGTAAATGCATTTTAATTAATGAATTTTTTTTAAAAAAATATTAAAATCGTATAGTTATAAAAATATCAAATTAAAGAGTTTTTTTTGTCTGTCTAAGTATTTATTAAGATTTAAATTTTATTATAAACTATAATATTATTGTTGACTAAAAAATCATAAAAATAAAGTCTAAGTAATTCTAAGACACATTATTCTAATTAGTTTAGTATTTTTTTATATTTTTAATAGCTTTTGTTTAGTCTCTAAAACTATTGTCTAAAATTTTCTTTTAGATATATGTGTTATTTATTAGAAATTTTCAAAAGATAATTGGTAAGTAAAAAAAGAATAAAAAAGGACATCATGACTTTTTAGTGATTTCTACATTATAAAAAAACTAGCTAATTTAACTCAATTATATTGCCATAAGAAATCAAGAAGTTATAATGAATTATTATTAATTTGATATTATCATCTTATATACAATAAAAGACTTTTGAAAAAATCAATTAAATTATTTTACTAATTTTTAGAATATAATTTTAAGATTTTTTTCTAAATGATTTTATCACTTTTTATAGGCTATTACGAAAAATTAGAGCAAGATCTAAAGGTCTCTTAAAGTTCTTAGGCTAATTAGATGTTTTCAAATATCATGATGAAGTTAATTTATTTTAAGAAATAATTATATTGATAGAATTTAAAGTAAGCAACAACTATAATAGTTGTAGTAGTAGTATATTATGTATAAATTGTAGCACCTTGGAAGTAGACAAGATGATAAGACTAAGACCTTGTAGCTTATATACGACACTATATACCACTTTTGAACCTTAGTGAAGCTCAAATTCTTGATTACTTAATTAAGTTATCCTTAAGATAAAATTAAATTGCCTAATTATTTTTAATATTTACCTTCTACCTTCAAATTGTCATAAACTTAATTATAATAAGATATATTTATATTTTTTATGTTTTCAAAACAATAAACAATAAATTAGATAAAATATATTTCTTAACTAATAATTATAATAATTATTATTATATCATTTATCAAGTAAATATCTAATGAAAAGAGCATGACTTATTTTGGAATACTTACTTCTTTGATTCTCTTTATTTCTGTTTTTCTTATTTATTCATTTTTTTCACTTTATATTGCAAATTTCAAGAAAATTCTAATTGAATTTACCTTACAATTTGGATTGATGCTTGACTTTTACCATCATATCTTATAATTAAATCATATATTTTTTACTATTAAATAAATTCTTTTCAATCTAAAATATATATATATATATATATATATATATAGATAGATCCAATTTTGCTCTTTATTTAATTATATATGAATATGTGTTGGACATCCAAAAGATTTAAGCTTTAAAGAATCTATAAATTTATTATACTAATTCTTTTTAAGTATCTTATTTTTAATTATAATAAATAAATAAAGATTTATAAAATAATAGCAAGACTAGTAGCTTTAACATAGAAGTTTATTCTAATTTTAAATTATTTAACATATTTGTAAATAATCATTCATAAAATTATTATTAAAATATTATTGTGCATAGCACAATTTAACTATATCCAATCGCTTTTCTCCTTAATTAGATGTAATAGCAATTCTACTTTTAAAATTTTCTTTTGTAAGTTTATGAATGGTTTGATCTTCTCATTTATTACCAAAATATAATATCTTTAAGAAATATTTAGAATTCTATCTTTTACTATCTATTTACAATCTATAGAGTCTAATGCATCAAATCAAATAATATATATATATATATATATATATATATATAATATAAGTATACTAAGTATCAAAAAACATATTCTAAATGACATTAAATATTTTGATATAAATTATATCAAAGCAATTTATAGAAATCTATCTTTAAATATATCAAATCAAGTTTTGTATTTTAACATGTAACTTTTCTTATTCTAAATTTCTTCAGTAATTCTTTTTCTTATGAATAAATATTCACATTATAAAGATTTTTTTTTAGGTTCTATTCTTATATTATTACATAAACAAAGACTAATTATCTCTTCTAATTCTATTGTGTATTTCTTATATTATAAAGTAGTGAAAAAATAAAAATCTATCTTTGATTTATTAATTATTTTTCATATGAAATTTTTTTAATATTACCAATATTTTTTTATAAAATTCTTATTTATATTATTTCAAAATTCTTGATTTCTAAGATTCAAAAAAAAAAAAAAAAAAAAAAAAAAAAAATTGTGCTTATTATTCTTGGTCTATTTTTTCCTATTCTTTATAATTTTTGTCTTAAAACTTTTAACCTATAAATTTGTAGACTCTTTATTATATACGCATATATTCTATCCTTATTTATTTTATTTTAAAATTTTCTTTCTATTAAATTTTTCTACTTCAAATTTTATATTTACAAACTTTGTTGCCATTTTGTTACTTCAATTATACTTTAGAATTAGCTTTTGAAGAAAACAAATACAAAATCACTCATACACACATATACACACACATACATATATATATATATATATATATATATATACATACATTATATTAAAAAATGGTTTTATTAGAACTAGAATAAAATACTTATAATTCTACATAGTTATATATAAGAGCTACTAAAATTCTCAAAGACTATTAAAAATACACCTTAAGCCTCTACTAAATATGATCTACATTAGGCTTCACATGGCAACACATTCTACCCTTCTTTAGTCTTGATAAGACTAAAATAATTTCTTTTTTATATTTGAAATCTTCACAGGGATATTTAAATAGATGGCAAGAAAATCCAAGATATATACAGTGACAAACAAAACCAAGTACAAAATCTGAAGTGCCAACTTTCAAGAGCAATTACAGAAATTTCAATGATTGCTTTATAAATCTAAAAGTTACATGGAATAATACACACAATCTTGTACACATGTACAAAGTTGCACATCAAATTGATAACTAAACATCCTTCTACAAAGTCAAATCAACAACTATGTCTTGTACTCAGTATTGTTCAAAGAAAATCTTCAAACTTCAATATTTAGTCCAATAACCTTTTGCTTCCAAAACAGGTGAAATCCTTCTTGGCATACTTTTGTATAGTTTCTCACAATCTTTTGCATCAAAACTAGGGTAAATACTACAAACATTCTCCCACAATTCTTGAACACCTCTTGGCCTTGGAGTGACTTGGCTTAAACGCTGTTTGAGAAGGGCCCAAAAATGTTCCATTGGATTCAAATCTGGAGATTGAGCTGGCCATCGAAGGAGCTGAAATGGCTGTGAAGAGAGCCAAAACTGAACACTTTTTGCCATATGTTTGGGATCATTATCATGTTGAAAAACCACCTTAGTAGGATCTAAGTTGTAATTCTTTGTGGTACTTTGCAAGTAGGTTTCTAAAATTTTTTTGTACAAGTGTTGCTCCATTCTACCTTCAATTTGATACCAAGCACCCGGCCCAAAAGCAGTGATACAACCCCAAATCATAATTGAACCACCACCATGTTTGACAGTTTGACTAACATGTTTAGGTCCAGGTCGTTCTCCTTCTCTCAACCAACAC